GGGGGGGGAACCCCCAAATTCCATACCGACTGCTAGCTGAGGTAGTGTACATCCAAGGCGTTCAGCAATTGGGAAAAGTTCTTTCAGTTTTGTTTGTTGCTTTCTTCCTTCCTCGCTCACAATTTTCTCCTTTAGCCATTGATAGCACTAGCAAATCAAAAGACAATAAAAGACAATTTAAGTCCACATGTCTGAATTTCAACAGAGAATAGTTGCCATACTAGTTGCCATACTAGCTGAGAATTACATATGATGTTCAGCACATATAAGGGGGAACCACATTGGAGGAGCCTGGTTTATATCAGCCCTTAATCCTCACCTTCATTTTGCTGATCAATGTTATTTCAAAGTTTTATCAGAAAATGTATGTACTATACATATACACGTTTTATTGGAAAATGTATGTATTACATTATACATCCACAGAGGTTACCGAATGAAGCCACTTCCTGGCTCTTTCAACATACTGAATCAATAAATTTACCAATCACTCTTGATTTACAGTCACAGGAAAAGAACCATAATTATTATTAACCAAAGTTTACATGTTGTGCGAGCAAGTTGCTATTGTACAGAAGAAAAATAGGAAATTTATGATCTTCCAGATGTTGAAGATACCCAATAGCTCTAACCAATTTGGCTAATGGTGAAGGTTGTTGAAAACTGTAGTTCTAAATTCAGAAGGACTCTTAATTTGTAATCATAGTGTGATTTTTCACTATCATCAGTAAGGGTAGTTATTATTATTATTATTATTTATTTGATTTGTATCCCACCCTTCTCCTTACCGGACTCAGGGCGGCTGACAGCCTTATAAAACCAACATTACAGTAAATATCAATTTAAAACTAGATTAAAAGGAAATATTTGTAGTGGCCTAAAAATTAAAATTTCCCTTAAAAAACCCCACTAAAATTCCCTAGGCCAATCCCGCTTGTTGAAAAAGCCATGTCTTTAGGGCGCGGCGGAAGGAGGGGAGATCCGGGATCACCCGGATCTCTGGGGGTAGTTCGTTCCAGAGGGTGGGGGCTCCCACCGAGAAGGCCCTCGCCCTGGGGGTCACCAGCCGGCACTGTCTGGCTGACGGCACCCTGAGGAGACCCACTCTGTGGGAGCGTACCAGCCGATGGGAGGTAATCTGCGGCAGAAGGCGGTCTCGGAGATATCCAGGTCCGATGCCATGGAGCGCTTTGAAGATGATGACCAACACCTTGAAGCGCACCCGGAAGGCCACCGGCAACCAGTGCAGCAATCATGAACAAAATTATTCTAATAAGAATGGTTGGAGGATGGGAGGTAAGTTTACTTCTATGTATTTAACCTCCATTTAATTCACATACTTAATCTGAGCTAAGCACAACAAAACATTTGTCTATTAATCTCTTGTGTGGAGCCGCCTATCTGCCTTAAAGACCGAGCTGTGAAGCTGTAAAGACTGCTTTCGAATACACCACAATAATTGGCATGCATTGTGTCATCCTTCAAAATAGCAAACAACTTTTACATTGTTGCCAAGAAAACTGTCTAGACAGGGGTGAAATATTTAGACAAGTCTGTATGTCAACTGACAAGATTTCCAGGTTAGAAGGCATGTCTTTAATTATTTGGGGGGAAATGTTGAACTTTCACAATTCAGAGGGATGATGTGGTCAGACCAGAGCCGGAAGACTCTAGTCATTGATGGTGCCAGTTCTTAAATAGGAGTTCTTTGTTTTACAAGTACACATACTGTAAGTACTTGCAAAAGTACACATAGTTGGAAGAGAGAATTTTAAAAAGCAAAAATGAAAACAGGAATAAAGTATATTGAGTTGGAATGTTCTATGAGTGGGTGAATGGCCTGAAATACGCCACTTTATTATCAATTGATTAGATGATTCAGACATGAGACAATGTGAAGAAATGGAGTGGCAATAACATTTAAAAAATATTGCTCTGTATGAGCTCAGCTATAACCCAATGATCGATAGGATGTTATTTAGTAGAATTAGTGGCTACCAGTAGAGATTAATCTTAGACTGATACATGCATTTGATGCAGGTGCAGTGATTGAAGAGACTGAGATATTCTATTGCAAAAGGCAAAATGGTAAACTGCAACATCTTGAAACAACACAATGCCATTAATGGATGTTTAGAATGCAAAAACTCACAAAATGGAAGATCTTGGAACTACAGTCAGATTCTTATTGAATAAATTTTTGCTGGTCATTCACTGAATAAATATTATTGATTGACTGACCGATTGGATAAATGCAATAATACAGGTGAGATGGGTGGAGTTTTGCAAAGAAAATGTATTTATTGCTGATTCTTGCTTCAAGCAACATAGATATAAATTCTACAAATGAACATCATTAAATGAACCATATTGGAATAAACCTAGCCATATATTAATAAATAGAAGACGGAGAAGTGAAATCCAGTCAACCAGGACATTTTCTGATTCTGATTATGGAGAGATCATGATTACTACATCAAAATATAAGGATTAAACTTAAAACTTCAAAGAGAAGTCATCTTGTCAGAATATAAGACCAATGCAAGGAACAGATTCAGTATGCTTATGTGAAATTTGATGGGAAAAGAAACCGAGGAATGAAATAAGAGACAATGGGAAAGCTGAGGTTTCTTCTAGAGACAAGGATACATATTGTCCTTCATATTTGTTTATAATAAGTAGAAAACATATTGTAGGACAAAAGTAGTTCAGGACTCAGGTGAAGCTCTTGTGAGGCAGGTTGTCCAGGTAGCCTATGGGAGAAATACCTTCAAGGATGCCCTTGATCCTTCGGGGACTCCACTGGAATATTTCCCTGAGATAATCCCACAAGCAAGCGGAGACCAAGTCATTGCTCCAACTCCTACAAAGCAATCAGTGAGACAATACTGTAGAAATAACAAACAAAAAATGTTTTAAAAAAACCCCAAACAATAAAAGGCCAGAAACCATTTATCTAAGAACAGTTACATCATTTTGAGGCTTAGAAAATGTTCCGTCAGGAAAGAGATTAGACGTTTTTTCAAAATAATGCAAAATATATAAAATGAATATGGTTTTTATCCCACTTTCTGCAAGCCCCAGTCCCATGTGGGGAACCTCAAAGACCAGAATAAAGCAGTTGTGCAATTCATTGCCTATTTTATTGAAGAGAAATGCCAGTCTTCTCACGGAGGCTTATTTCTTAGAAAATTTATTTAGGATTGCACCCAGTTTGGTCTAATGGTTAAGACACCAGTCTAGGAACCAGGAGATGTGAGTTCTATCCCTGTTTTAGGCATAAAAGTTAGCTGGGTGATTCACCCCAATTCACTTCATAGTGTTGTTGCTATGAGGAAAGTAGGAGGAGGAAGGAATATTAGGTATGAGTTATTTATAAAAATAATAAAATCTAAACTTAGACCTTTAGGAGTGAGAAAATGAACATCTGTAGTTTTTATACATGACATAAAACTGCTGCAGTCATGAAGAAGTCTTGCTGTCAGTTCCTTCCATGCATAAAGATAATTCTTCTACGCAAAGATTTATATACAGTACCTACGATAATGATTAAACAGTAGGGGACAGGCACTGTCTCCAAGTATATGCTTTGGACATAAAAAGAATTAATTTCTCCTTCTTTTATGAAAGATGCTGCCTTGGTACATTACCTATCTTGTGGTATAATTCTGGCAACTGAACTTCAACTTTGTCTCTTTGGAAAAGGTGATATTCTGCTTGTTCACATACGGGTGGGATCATATTAAACTGTCTTGCAACCGAATATGCTTCCTGTTGAGAATCAGCAGCAAAAGAAAAATACATTAGCAGGGAGAATTCCTCAGGCATAAAATCATACATCAATCAAACCCACTGTTTTCCATTCCTCGTTCAGGCGTTATGTATTAAGGATCTGACACTCGATTTACTTGGTGAATACATTAAAAATGTTTTGAGCAATGAAAAAAGCACTGCTCTGAATGATCTGATCATTTTTGGTTTTTTTTTTTAAAAAAAATTGTACAAAAGCCTGCAGATAGCATCTTCTCATGAGTGACAAAAACATCATTTGCAAAAATGTGTGTGCATTAAGTAAAGACAAAGGCACATTATATATAGTAGCTGCCATGAATGCAATATGGCAATGTACAAATTGAAATGATAAATCAGAAGGCTATATTTTAAAAAGCAAGTGTAGCTTCAGTTGCTGGCTAACAGTGTATAAAACAGTTCTTGAATTACAGAATAATTATAGGAACATACAAATCAACGTATGTTGGGAAAAGGAAGAAGCATGTATGATGAAGATTTAGGTCTATGTCAAGTTGATCATGCATCTCACTGATGCATTTTTAATCCCTATAAGCAGATGCCCTGCTGGTCATTCTGGCCTTGGGGAACAAAGGAAGAATTGTAGAACAAGTCAATACTCAGCCCAATTCCAGTGTTTCTACAATTTATTCAAAAGTGATAACATAGGAGATGCAGGTACTAATTTTTCAATTTTGACATTTTCCCACAATGAAAATACAAGAGGAAAATGTTTGATGACAGCATTGTGTACATGGCCCACAAACGTGAGACTATAGAATCACAGCTATTTCAGGCCAGACTTTTCTTGATGTTTAATTAAATGTGAATTAGTTGATTTATTGTTCATTCCCAAAAAGCTAGATTACCATAATCTCCATGGCACTCCAGCGCGAAGTCCCCCAATACATTGTCATCCCCCGATCAATCACATGTGTCATTGCTCGGACAATCTCTAAATCAGAAAAAAGGCAGAATTATGCAACAGATGCTAATAGATAACAGCCTACTTCAGAAGCCAATATTTTCAATTTATGCAAGAGAAATGGAGTGCATGTGATGCTGACCCTGTCTCCATCCATTACTAGCATCTTTCACATTGATGCAGAAAATCTGTAGAGAAATTCTGAATGCATTTAGATGAGTTGGGTTACAGTGCTGTACACAATCACAAAGCTGATCACAAGGCCTATTAGATTTTCTTCAGGCCTTGCCCCTGAACATAATGGAGATAGGACTATGCGCGGGATTAGGGCACTGTCCTTGTTACAGGTAGTCCTCGATTTACAACAGTTCCTTTAGTGGCTGTTCAAAGTTACAACGGCACTGAAAAAAGTGTCATGACCATTTTTCACACTTATGACCTTTGTAGCAGTCTCATGACCATGTGATCAAAATTCAGATGCTTGGCAACTGGTTCATACTTATGCCCATTGCAGTGTCCCAAGGTCATGTGATCACCTTTTGCAACCTTTTGAGAAGCAAAATCAATGGGGAAGCCACTTAACAACTGTGTTACTGACTTTTCAACTGCAGTGATTCGCTTAACATCTGTGGCAACAAAGGTCATAAAATGGGGCAAAACTCACTTAACAAATGTCTCACTCAACAACAGAAATTTTGGGCTCAATTGTGGTCGTAAGTTGAGGACTGCCTATATTCCTCTTTCTTGATCTGACTTAACTGTGGTCCAATAAATGTTGTACATATTACAGTGGTACAAAACAATCAAGATACATTGGTCTGAAGGAAGCACTCCTCCTCAAGCATGGAAACAGGCACATCTTCTAAAACTTTCTCAGATCATGTCTGCATTTACAGGCAGGAAATGCTGTTTAGCACCGATCCCTTTGTACAGTATCTATGAACCCACATGCACATACAGCCAACCCAAGAAAACTTTATGCTAAAGTGGTTTATATTGTATTGCCTTCTATACACATACGGATTCATGTCCCTGTATGGGGGTCACTAAAAGATTTTTCACACTTTCCCTTTCAATACATCTACATTCAACTTGGCCAGTAGCCACCCTGAATGAAATCCCAGCCTTACTGGGGAAAAAAGAAAAAGCTGCTAGCATGAAGCTTAGTCTTTCCTCATTTTTGTGCTGTTTCCCAAGAGTGTTGTAAAAATAGTGAGATAGGGACATGTTCATCATCACCTCAGGAGTAAAAAAATCTAACAGATGGAGAGAGGGATAACATTTGGACTTTCTCTGTTTGGCTGCCTTTCTAAAACCTTCTAGGCATGCATATGGTTATGCAAAAGAATGTACCACTTTGCTTCACTAAATATGCATGCAGCCCTGAAGGCTTCAGGGAGGCCTTAAACAAGTCACATTGCACTTGCTTGGTAGCTTTAAAGCGTGGATACTGAGATATGCTTCATTCTTCACCTGCACAGCCCAAATGTAAAATGTGGAATAAAACTGTTTTGAAGGTACTTTAGAAATCACTAGCTCAACCAGGGCATATTGCTGGACTCGCGGTTCCTACATACCAAATGATGCGCCTGGTACATTCTTTTCTAGATTGAGAGGCTCTTCAGACAAACACTCATACCCTGATCACCACACACCTTGACTACTGCAAGGTGGTCTTCATGGGTTGCCCTTTGAAGACCACCCAGAATTTTCCACTGGTTTTCAATGCAGCAACATGGGCAGTGATGGGCATGCCTCAGTAGGCCCACATAACATCTCTCCTTCATAAACTATCTTGCCAGTTTGCTTTCAATTGCAATTCAAGGTGCTAGTCATTACCTACAATAAAGCTTTACCTCGTGTAAAACCTGGTGACTTGAGGGACTGTCGGTCTCCAATACTGTAGTTATCTGCCTGGCCTATTCTGTCTTGTAGGGTTGGCAGTCTCCAGGTTCCTTCAATTAAACAATGTTAGCTATTGGGACAGTGGAAGCACGCTTTCTCAATAAAACACCTTCCCTCTGGAATGAGTCTTCCCCCAAGACCTATGGTAAATAGCCCCACTCTGCTATTGTTTATAATGGTTATGAAAGCCTGGATCTTCACCCAGGTCTTTGGTGAGGGAGGGTGAAACCCCTTACTTCATTCCTAACTGGTCTGTTCTTGCCATCTTTTATTTAAACTTGGTTTTATTGTATTTCTCTTATTTTAGTTGTCCTTCAGACATGACACATGAAGTTGAGATAAGGGAAACTTTGATCACCTAAATATAAAATATTTGGAAATTATAAATAATAATGTTAATTTGAATATTGATGGGAAATTAAAGCCTTGGAAAAAAAAGCAATAACAGGACATTGATTGTGTACAAGGATCAAGTGCAAACACAATTAAGATATGTATAAGCTAAAAATTATTGATAATTGTAACAAAGATGTTTTTATTTAGTTGATAATAATAACTCTACTAGCCCAATATGAGATAGCAGACATTAATGGAAAAAGAGAGGAAATATTTCATGTTGTAATATGAGATTTATACTAAAGACTTATGTATGCTATTGAACCCAGTCAACCCAGTCATCACATTGCTTTTTAAATATTCAATTGTAAAATGAGAAAATCAATAAAATATTATATATAAAAAAAGACATGACACATTTTTTCAGTGTCTTTCTGAAATGCAGTACCTGGAACTAGGGTGTGTAGTACTACTCTAAATGTGGTTTAATACTACAGAGAGGAACCGTTATTTTGTTGACTTTGATACTATACTTTTGTTAATGGAGCCAAGGACTGTGTTTACTTTTTTAAGGGGAGGGAGGGCAAATACACCACACTGTTGGTTTATATTCATCTTGTACTGCAATCCAACAAGATTCCTAGATTTTCAATCGAGAAATCATTTTGCCTTTTACCATCCAACAGTATGCAAATGGAAATGTACAGTCATGCATTTAGATCGAGTTTAGACTCCACAGAAGAAGGGAATAGCCCTTTAGACAAATATTATTATTAATTGAGCTATAAACTACATAACCAGCTTTTTAATCTCTCTTTTTTATTCTATATTTTTAGTTCTGAAGCTCCCCATAAAATAATTCATATTGTATATTTTATTAAATTGCACATTTTCACCTCTTAGCCTCCACTCCAATTACAAGAATAAGGAAAAAAAATCCTTCTGCTATTACAATGCTAGACAATTTGCTTTGAAATAAAGTTATCTTCTTACAGTAAAATTAATATAATGAACACATCTGAAATGACATATAAATTGACTAATTGCCCTGCAATTATTTAATGTAAGAAAGGACAAAAAAGAAAATGTGTTACAGTAAGTAATATCAGCCTTAATGAGACCCAGCATGCCAGTAAAGCCACTGTTGATGAGGAAGTCTATCTGATATTCCCACAACTAGCTCCTGATGCCAGGGAACCCTAGCACTTGAATAACCATCTCATCCCAATTGCACTGACCCATCCCGCCACATCAAGAATGGAGGCATGCTGTGTTTCTGGTAGGTCAAGGAATTTGACTGGTGGGATCTAAGAGAAGGCCCCCACCCTTTGGAACATCTGACCCCCAGAGTTGTGGTAAGCTCCCACTCTTCAGGTTTTATGGAAAAGTGTTAACCCTTGGCTTTGCCAATTAGCATGCGGGTCTAAGAGCACTGGTGGCTTGAGGACACTCCCGCTGCCTTGTTAACCTTTTAGCCTTCTGAATTTTTATCTTTGTTTTTTTTATTTTTACTTTCAACACTTGCTTATTATATCCTGCAATAATAAATGAGAATTTTTAAAATAGCAGAGGTTGGAACTCTCACAAACCTTCTCCAAAGAATGCCACAAATATTGTTCTCATGTAAAATATCATGGCATCTCATGCTGTTAGACTGAAATCTTACAATTTTTGGCCATGTCATGATGTTTCAATCACAACATTTAAATTTTTTTTTTGGTAAGACAAGGTAAGCAGACAATGTACATACTTTTCTGTTATCCTTTCTAGATGCTTACTTTTATAAAAATGAAAATAAAAAAGAAAGATGATGCTCTGGCTTGCGAAGACAGATGGTAGACAATTTTTATCTCCGTATTGCGCCTCAAAGCTTGACAATCAATGCCAGAAATCCCAAAAAGACTGCATCTCACAGTTGTTTCAGCAGGAACAACAAGGGCATCAAAACAGGGTTGGTCTCACAACTATAAACTCCATCATTTTGAATGTGTGCGAGAGACATTGATATACACACAAAAAGGGCAGGACCTGCATTGTGGTGCTCCATCTGCCATCTTGCCATGGACACAACTTATAAGAATGGATGATGGTCAACAATTATTGTAATAATTATTATTTTCACTTATTTTGTGGGAGAAAAAGAGATTAGGGAAATTTAGGTACACTTGAAACATGCTTAACATACAATTTTGTTAAGCAAAAAAATGTAAGTGTGGCAACATTACTCATGTGGCAAAACTATTAAAGTTTCGTAACACAAGAGGGCAGCATTGTAGAAAGAGTTAAGTGGGATTTTTGGCGCATAAACTTTAATTCCTCAAGTTCAAGGCAACTATACAAGGACCACAGTGGTGGGTTTGTACAAGTCCTGTTTATTTGGATATGCAAAAAAGCATGAATGAATTTCAGTGGGTTATTTGACAAAATCACAGAGCTGGAAGGGCCATTTAAGCCATCAAATGCAACTTATCCCTCTTCATGGGAATCCCAATTAAGCATCTCTAACAGATGGTTATGTAACCTCTGTCTGTTCATTCTGTCATGAAAGGGACCCACTATCTCTTTGCATCATTAGATCCACCATAAAACTGCTCTCACTGTTGAGGAATCTTTTTTTTTTCTTTGCCTTGAATAGATGTTTCATGGCCTGTACTCTATTCTCTATTTTGAAAGCTACTTCTTGAATTCCTTTTTATAGAACTCAGTCCCCTGGTTAGAATTCTGCCAGCTATGCTGCCTCTTATCTGACTGTTGTCTAGGCAGCCACCCCATCTCCCAGGGCTTTTCCCACATGCCATTACACAAGCTGAGGTTGAACCCAAAGGGAATAGAGTTGCTCTTTGTCCAGAGATCATTCTAAATGAGAAGGCACTTATCCTGAAGAAACAGATCCACAATTTAAGTATTCTCTTGAATTCACAGTTACTGCTACGTAGCTAAATGGAAGTCATTGCTGGGGAGATTTTGCCCAGCTTCCATTGATGTTCCAGTTGCAGCCTTACCTGAAGTCAGAAGACATGGTGAGGGTAAGCAATGTCCTTATCACCACCCTTCACATCTACTGAAATTCACTCTATGCTGGATTACTTCTGAAAACTAGTGCTAAACTGGTGCTAAATTGTGTTGACCTACATGCTGATGGATAAAAGTCACTGTGCCTGAGTTAGGCTTTTATTACAAATATTGTGCTAGTTGCTGGAAAGCTTCAGATTACAATTCAAAGTATTGTTTTTAACCCATAAAAACCTTAAATGGCTTGGTTCCTATGCAGGATTGCCTTCTCTAAGCAGAAAGGATTGACCTAGCCTGTTTGAGTTGGCTTCTAAGTACTGACTGATTCACTTGGTACAAATATGAATGTACAGATTCCAATTCATCTGTTGGGGGGGGGGGTGCACAAAGACACTGCTTTGCTGTGATGACATTCTTTCTTTGGAGAGCAGATCAGAAGTTGCCAGTGACCACATCATACTTGAATTTAATATAACACAAACGCTAGCAATAGAAAACAATCTAACCAGTGTCTTGAACTTCAAAAGGGCTGACTTTAACAAACTCAGAGAACCTAGGAAAGATCCCATGGATGAAAATCCTAAATCGGAAAACAACCCAAGAAGCGTGGGAAACTCTGAAAAAGGCGATCATAAAAGCCCATACCAGCACAATACTACTGAAAAAGGAAAAACAAGAAATTCAAGAAGAAACCAGCATGGCTGCACAAAGAACTCTCTGACAAACAGAAAGACAAAAAGGACAAATACAAAAACCATGAGCCAGCAGTGTGCAGCAGCAGCCAAAAAAGCTAATACAATCCTGGGTTGTATAAACAGAGGCATAGAATCAAGATCGCACAAGGTATTAGTACTTCTTTATAAATTAGTATATTAGTACCTCTAGTACACCTGGAATACTGCAACCAATTTAAAAAGAGGCGCTAGACAGTCACTTGTCTGAGATGGTATAGGCTCTCCTGCTTGAGCAGGAGG